GTCCGTCTTCTCGGCCTGGGCAGAGCTACAGGTGGCCAGCTCGGAGCAGAAGTACCTGCTCGACGTGCTGAAGCCTCACATTGGAACATTGACGCCCTTGTGGCTAGAGTCGCTGCGAGAGTTTGCCCGCCTGCGCTTCGAACCTGACATTTCAATGACACTTGGACCCCCCTCGTTATCAGGCAGTCTCGATACTATTTACGCGGCCCTCAACAGAGAGACTCTGCTCAAGTTCTACCAAGAATCCTGGCTCAAGCTTGTCGACGCTATTGCGAGCTTGATTGAACAAGACAGCGAGTTTGTATTTGATGCTCTTGATGGAAAGGAGTCTGAGGGGCTGAGCACGAATGGTCACACCAAGGGACCTGACATCAATTACCGCGACGAGCCTGTTGCGTTCTTCTTCGTGCTGTTTGGGATCGCATTCGAGGCCCTAGCTACGCGCCCTGGTCAGAGCGACTCGTTAGCCACACAAGAGCAGAACCTGGCTATTCTGCAGGCCCTCAAGAAGATCCTCCACCCGAGTGTATCCGGTCATGCGATTTACAGAGAAGCGATCTTCTCGGAGACTATGGATCTGCTTGATAGACTAGTCTTGACAGAAGGACTCGATGTGCAAGGCGTCATCGTAGAGATTGCGAGGGCACTTTGCGTCTCTCACCCGTCGGCACGCAAGAAGGACTCTGGCGATGACGGCGATCTATCAGACGACATCGACCAACTTTTCGAGCTCACACGCATCATTGTCTTGGTTCTTGCTGGCCTGCTCCCCAACCTCACAGAGGCGAACCAGCCAGGCCGCCACCAGATGACTGAGGAAGCCGTGCTTCTCATCCGCTCATCTCTGAACGCGCTCGTTGATGCTGCCGAGGTTTTCCCCTCCATCATCAAGACTGATCTTCACGCCTGCATCATTCACATTCTCGCCACCATCCTTGCTACTCCCGGATGTCAGGAAGTGATCGTTCCGCAGTCCCTACCCACCCTCAAGCGCTTCGTCGCGAGCATGACGAAATCCCGCAGAGCGAGCAGCGGCGAGGACGGCAGCGGCCCGTCGCCTACGGATGTACAGATGCAGGGCTGCCTACGCCGATTCCTTTCGATTTACCTTAACGCGCAGAAGCGAGAGGTGCCAACATCCCTCACCTGTGTCAAGAACTGTTTGCTCGCGAGCACCATCCTGTTTACGGGCGGCACGAACCACCTGGCAGCGAACGATGCTCTTGTGGCAAGATATCTCGATGAGGTGGTCGACTGCCTGACGGATCGCATGGTATGTAGCAGTCATCTGGAGCTCCCTTCCGATGCGTCGAAATATGTGACTAACATTTGGATAAAAATATAGACGGCGAAGATCGCTGCCAACTGCATCAGGTCGCTGCTTCTGCAAGGCAACCCTACACCGGCAGACCACACCATTGCGCGCTACCTCCTCCCGCGCCTCGTTGCATTCGTGACCAACACGGCGCCAGAGGACCCGGAGAACGCCCGCTCCATGATTGCGCACTCTCTGAGCCAGTACGTTGGCGTGGTACCCCGGGACCGCGTCCCCGTCGCCATGGCGCTCGTTCTGCCGACCTGTCTCGCGCGTGCCTCTTCTGAGGGCGAAGACTGCTACAGGGACACGTCGGCACGGCTGCTGGAGCTGGCGGCCATTGACCAGAACGCGTTCCGCACCGTCGTGGCGAGCATGAGCGATGGGCAAAAGGCCTTCCTGGAGGAGGTCATTCGGTGGGGACGGCAGCAGGGGCCTACGGAACAGGCCGCGAGCGGGGCGACGGGTCAGCCAAGCATCGCGTTGAAGATGGACTTTGGAGGGTGATATGTGATCAAAGTTGTTCCACCCATGGGCCGAGTCGAGGAAAGGTAGCAGAGGTATGCGTAGTAAGAGGAGGAACACTGGAGATCATGAGGCGTTGAGGGGTGGTGGCATTGGGAGGGAAGATGGTGTGAGACAGATGCGATTTGCTGCCGGGTACATTTCCCTGCAGGAAGTCTCTAAAAGATGAGGGAGAGGTTTTTCAAGAGTAGATGTTACAAAAGAGCAAGAATCCATACCGGCAAAGCCCATGAGCAGAACCTCGTGTTTTCCGTCCCCTCTCCTAAGGGATTGCTGATTCCCCATTCGTTACGATAAGTCAGAACTACGGAGTATTGGATGGAAAATGTCGCTAGCCGGAGAAGGGGGTGGGCTAGGTAAGGATCAAAAACGGATCCCATCAACTCGGATCTCGCATACCCATGGGTTTGGAAACGGAAGTATTCTGCAAGTTGCCGTCCTTTTCATCCGGCGTGGAAGATTCCAAGGGGATTTGACATTTCTCATCCGGCCTGGGGCTTCTCCAACGAGCTGGCAGGTATTGCTTTTTCCCTTTTGAGAAGGAGGGTCGGTGGTGATGGTCGTGGTTTACGTGCAGGAAGAGAGAGAGGGTGGTGAGGGAGGGCAGACATCACGTCACGTTTCACGGCTTCTCCATCTCTCGAGGAGCCTAGAATCAGAAAAGGGGTCCAGAATCAAGAATCAAGAAAGGTGTGGCGTTTCGTTAAAAGCATCATGCTTCGGCCGAAACCCGCATTCTCTCCTAGTAAATAGCTTTTGGCCATACCGGACTCCTACGCATATCGAATTCCTCGTCTTCGTTTTCTGAAAATCCTAACAATATTTCGCTAATCATTGCTCTCCTTTTGGGAGCGGGCCCCCATAGACGCCACCGTTTTCGTACAGAGTACTCTTACATGAGATACCCAGATAAACCAGGAAGCAGGAAGCAGGCAGAAGGGACAATGCAATCCGTGTTACCGTACGGTGAAAGGCAGGCTTCTGCGCCAGCGTATATGCAGGTAGGTAACCGCGTGCCGCTCATCCACCCCCCTCCAAGCCGTGCCGTGCCATCGATATCATCGGCATGAAGCCGGGGACTTATCGCCTCTATGCTTCGTTCTGAACCCAAACTGGGTTGGGGAATGGTTCAGAAGAGAGGCAGAAGGACAGGGAGTGTGCAGGAGTGAATGGGAATTTGGAATTCAGGAACACGTTTCGAAGTGTACGTTCGAGGTATATGACTTTGCTCCTCTGGATTCGCGCGGCTGAGTCCAGGTCACTGCCAGTATGTATGCTCATGGATTTCCCAGTCTTCTAGACCAGTTGGAACGGGTATAAGCTATGGATGTTTGCTATAGCGTCCCCAGGATCAGGCTCGTTCGCATCAAGGCCGGAGCCGAGATCCAGGCGGTGGGAGACACACATGGGTATTTGCATGAACCCTCCCTCAAGCTTGACGTGTTGGTCTGGTGACGCCAATGCTGCTATCGTGGGGTTCTCTTCTCTCTGGTCTGGCCAGGGGCTAGAAGCACCGGCTAGGCTTGTATCCGTACCCATGAAGCGGTATGGAGGAATGCACAGCACGTAGCCATTCGCAAGCGCGCGGCGGGTATTGGCGACGTGGCTGTCTCCCAAGACCATCCCAGAGACAAGAGAGAAACCGGGGTAGAGAGACAGTGAGGGGACGAGTGTCGGATCCTATGAGGCTTGTCATATATCATCGAAATGGCTACTCCATTACCAGGACCAGGCTTTCATACGCCAACAAAAGTCCACAGACGGTGTGCTGGGGTTCCCTTCTTGCATTATTGTCGAGATGAACAGGTGGTCCGTAGCGTAGAAAAGCAAGCGCATGTTTGCTTGCTTGGGCCAAGGAGATCATCTGCCTGGGCTACTGCTGGCTCTGTTCTACTTTCACCACCACCACCACCACCACCACCACTCATTTCCGGGAGCTGCCGTGAATCAAATGCGGGTTTGTGGAAAGTGGGCGGCTGCGGCACGGTCTCGGTCGGTATGGTGTTCGCTGGTGTGCCAAGGTGAGGAGAAGGAGGTGACGGATCGTAAGTCTCGATGAATCAGATTTTGGCAGTTCGTCATTCTCCCATCCCTTTCCCAAATGTATCCTTTTTGTTATCCGATGGGCCGAGGACTTGTCGTCGGGGAGGCGGACGTTGTCGCCGGATTCAAGCGTCCACAACTCCGTGAATGCGACCGCATATTACGGGCGTATGTACGTAGAGTCGGGCGGCATATGCATAGCACTTCGCTCACTTCACTTCCTGTCGCTTTACCCCCATAGTGATCTTGCTCTCGTTTCTTTCTTTTTTTCGCTCTTAAATCTGAGATCGCCTCACAGGACGAGCCACGAGTAGTTATAGATCGTGCAGGTGAGACAAAAGCTTTCATCGGCCTAACGGCTGTAGAAGACGTTAGCCCGCTTCTAAACCGGCCCCTCCACACTTTGACAGCGTACCCGATGGATGCGGCCTTGACATGGCGGATAGCTGCACAAGACCTCTGCCCCGTGTTTCTACCGCTAGGCTGGTGTCGGCTCAAATCCGAGGGGTCCTGTAGCCCGTTCACAGGCGAGGGGCGTACGAGTGTGTCATCCAGCATTTCAGCTGCCTTGGGATGCATTGCCTGCCGCAACCCGGGCTCCGTAGTGAGAGGTCGTTGATCCGGTGAACAAGATTAGTCGGTGGGAGATTTGACTGTTGGCTGTGAGCTCTCTTCCGCATCTGGACGCGTGCTTGTCACTTGCTGCTCTGGGTCTCCAATTTCGGTATTCAACCAACCAAAGCCCCCAAACTTCATCAGTCGCTATGTCTAGCGCAGGATGCAGGATGCAATGACTGCGTTGGCTCCATTGAGATGTTGCTTGGCTTGAGGCTGCGTCTGAGCCGTACACGCTGTGCGTTCGTTCGAGATTCGGTTCGGCCATCACGGGATTTAATCAACATGCATCGAGTCGCCCGTGTTTGCCTTGTAGGTCCAATCGGGAGACTTGTTTGGTCAAATCGACCAAATCGCCAAAATTGTCCCATTCCTGTCCAATTACATTATTGACGATGGTCTGAGATCCATCGGACAATAGCGGATGGTGATAAAATCCACAATGCCTGCTTCGTCAAACATCATAACCCAAAAGAAAGTCCGGGGTTCCTAGCTAGCATAAGAAAACTCTTGCAAGTGCAAGAGTAAAACAGAAAAATTCCATCTCAACAGAAGCACCATGCATCGAGCGTTTGGGGATATGTCGTCTGATGCGCATTCAGTGGTTGATAACACTGGCAGGGTACCTTCCTATCACCCTTTTTTCTCCTTAGACTTTGATAGAGAATGAGGTTTGCTGCCGCGAGCAATTACCGGCCCAGATGGCTTTTGTACTTGCGATTGATGAGAAGATGGCGAGTCGCCTGATGGCCGACTACTACTCGAGCTAGGCGTTGCCGATGTTTTTGACTTCTCGATCGATCTTTTCTTTTTTGCCGGGTCGCCGTTCTTCTTTGGACGAGAAACCGGCTTTTGGGGCTGTCCGCCGGTGATTCCTTCGCTAATAAAACATGCGTCACTCTTATAGCTCATCCAGTCCTTTACGCCGAGTGCTTCGGCAGCGCTTCGTGCAGTATCTGGGGTCCGGAAGGCGGTATTGGTTTGGCCAGAGGAAGTAGAGTACGTGCCCGTACTAAAACCGTCGTCTGCATAACACATGGCTGGCTGTTGAGTGCTGTAGTCTCGACGAAAACCACAACTATTCTGATCCCACTAAAGAATACGGAATGTCAGTAAACTTTTCTTCAAGGGACACTGCCTTGCCGATGGTCTTACCTGAGAACACGATGCTTCTGGATAGGAATCATACGAATACGGACCAGTCTGCTGATAGTTTGTCGCTGGATATTCGGGTCTCCGCGATTTCGCTTGTGTAGATGCTGAATGTTCGTTTACCTCGACATCCTTGATCATGATGGGGTTTGACATGTTACGATCGTCAAACATGATCCGCCTGCCGTGGAACACGCCCTCCTTCAGGCGATCTTGAAGTATGTGTTAGCGAATGGCTTGACATCGCCAGCCGATTGGGTACACCTACCACAGGCACCGTAGAAATTGTGTTGGCCCATCACCCTAATCCAGCCAGACGTACTAGGTCCAAAGATTTGAACATGATCAACCACACAACCTTCGCGAAGCCAATCCTTGAATTGCCTCCAGTTTGTGTCGAAAGGCAGCTGTCTCGTCTGTCAGGGCATCGGTTCATTTGCGGTGTACTCGGTGTCACGAACGTTTGCTATGGGTATGTAAAAGACTCCGGTTTCCATACCGGGACGAGCCAGATACGGTTGCATGTTGACGCGGGATGACGGGAACCAACTCCTGGCACGGACTTTGTCCAACGTTAGACGCCAACGTCTTGACTTGACTGGTGGTTGTGTGACGGTGCGAAGAATCAACCAGTGCCAGGATCTTGTGGGACACAAGATCCAGTGATGAACCACAAAGCCTTAGCCGTACTCGAATCGATTCGGGCAACAAAGGAAGGAGACGATGGTTCGAGATGGTGAGGAGAGAATTATGGAATTCGTCTTTTATATTGGGCTAGTTCTCTCCAACCTCCATGTTTCCTCTTGAAAACCACTGAGAATAACATAGCCAATGGAGAGAAATACTTGTCTTTAGTTCGAGGAAAGGGAGATTCCTGCTAGTGTTGCCCCCGGGTTATCCCAGTCTGAACCGGTACTTGGCAGACAGACATTCCATTTTCGTTGGAAGTAGTCATCCTGGCTTGGGTACCCGAACCCATGTGCTGCCCTTCGGGGTTTCTTGTCTGTGCCAACCAACACATCCACTGGCGAGTCGGCCGAATGGTCGACCGGGCATGGTATGGAGTCAGAAACGATCTGGTACCGAATACCCGCAGTGCATACGGTGCCAAAGAAGAGGTGCAATGCAGCTCATTTACTATTAGATCGTACCATGGAGCTCCCCTCCCTTGTAGCATCGTAAAAATGACAGCCACCATGTGGGGTCCGGCTTGATGCAAGTTTGTTTTGGGCACAGTCACCTATCGCGCGCATAAGCTCTTCGGCTGCTGTTGGGTCGAGCAAGACGGGCTGCTATCATTATCGAGTCATCCGAAAGTATGTGCCGTGAACCTGGTCATTGGAGGCTGCGATGTAAGCTGCGGCCCGGCAACGGACAGGTTTCCTCCCTTTAGTTGCGTCGAAGCCACAAGAATGAGCGAACAGGGCTCCAATTTTTTTTTCGATGATAGCCAGAAAGGCTTCCCTTTTCGACTGACTCGTCCCGATCCGGAGAGGAAGCTAGGGACACCATTGAGAACAATGACCAGGGGCCAGCGGTTTCTCAAGCGGTCCATGAACAGCTGAAAGTGCTGATCAAAATCCGAATGCATTCTGAATCTTTGCCCTTGATCATCTACAGCCAATGGCAGGTTGAAGTGATAGACTCGAGGGGAGCAGGCTCGGACTGAGAAAGTTCCATCATAGACCCCTGCAGTAAGTTGATACGAAGCTGTGCCACTGTACGTAGCATGCACCTCTAGCACATTGTGAGGGCTGGGATTGCGGGTGGTCGATACAAATTGGCGTCAGTTGAGAGAAGCCGCGGAAGACAACATCCACTAAGCGCGGTGCTGGTAAGCCACGTCAACTTGTCAGAACGACTGAAAATTCCTCAGAGAAGCGCCAGTAAGAACCATAGTTCGAGCGACGAGCAGACGAACAGTCGAGTTTTGCATAGTTCGTTTGAAGCCCTGTCCTTGTAGCCATGTCGCGGCTGTCCGCAAGAGATGCGAACGCTTACTACTGGCGCTTGGAGTTTGAGAATGACCACACCTTTCTGCATCAAGTCGGTGCGGATGCGCTCTCCATCATCACGCTCGGCTGCATCAGCGCGCAGCCGCGGGTAGCTGTAAAACCAATAAGATCTGCGGGACATCCGCAGGTTTGGGGACTGTCTCCAGATGGTTGGTCGGGGAAGCTTCTGGTGCAGCCGTCTAGAACCAAAGTGGTGGGGCTGCAATCGATCAAGTCCTTTTGAAAGAAAAGGTGTCGTCTACTTCGGACATGTTTAAACCGGACAGGTCCTCGTCGAAATCGTCCAGTGCAGGTGCCTCCATCTGCATCTCATCCTTGCCAGTGGTCATTGTCAAATCATTGCGCTGCGCGTCTTGCCATGGGGCTCCGGACTCTTCAGGTTCCGCAAGGGATGCCATGAGATGATGCTTGCTATCTCCCAGCAAGAGAACGGCAGAATCGCCATTCCAGTCGAGCCATGATGCTTGAGGCTTTCCCAATACCTTGGCATCGGGTAGCTGCCCTCTAAAGTGAACCGTCTTCGGGCCGTCGGACAAGGGGTCCCAGACGAACACCAAACCTGCGTAGTTGTCTCCCTCGCACGTAACCATGAGCACTTCGCGCTGTTTTGGGTGCCAGGAGAGAGCCAAAATTTGACTGTGGAAGATGAGAACGGCGCGCAGTTCAGATGACGCCAAATCCCAGACCCAAACAGTGCTTGGCCAGTCCTCCAAAGTAGTAGCCAAGAGACTGGATGATGCATCAAAAACGGATACAGTGCGGGCTGGCTTGATATCGGCAGTGCCGTTGCTCGCTCGGGCCGGGGCAGATACGGACTGGGTCGCGCGCGAAAAGGAGTGCTGTGAACCTGATTGGGTCGTGGCGATCTCCTCTTGCCAGATCTGTCATCCTCGTGTTAGTCTACGCCAAAGTTATTGCCCAAAGATAGGTTGTGTCACCCACCTGAACGGTATCCCTCGGAACGATGGTTGCAGGATGTTCGAGTCTCATCGACTCGGCAGCGGACTTGGATTCCAGAACGCATACACTGCGAGTGTGGTCGCACACTGCAATGCGAGCGCCGTCCGGGCTGACTTGACAGTGCTTTACCCCCGCGCCGAGTTCGTAATGCTTCTCCTCGATGGCCCAGGGCGAGGGCCCAAACCATGTCTTGAAGAGGTGACCGTCGGGCGTGTAAAACAGGATTTTGTGTCCTTGAGCCGCAGACTCCCACATGAGGAGCCAGCGGCCGTCTGGGGTCCAGGCCAGTCCTTGAGCATCGACAGTGTCGGGCTGCCAAGAGCGAAGGACTTGTCGTGTCTTGGGATGGTGAACACTGGCGATATCTTTACCGGCGGCGCGTGTGAGGATGGCCAAATGTCCTGAGCCGGGGCGAAGTGCAAAGCCACGAGAAGCTACACTAGCTTGGTGGAACTTTGGGTTGCTGATCTCGATGGTTCTCGAAGTGGCCAGGTCGAAGATGGAGAACTTGAGGCCGTAGGATGAGCACATCAAGATCTCGGTATCGGAAGCGCCAAACTGAACAAAGGTAGGCTTCAGATTAGGAGTTGCGGGGTTTCGTATAACGCCACGATAGCCTGGACCCGAAGCTGAGTAGATGAGAACCTGGTCAGAGAAGCAGGCGAGAATGCGTCTTGACGAAGGTGACCATCGCAACGCGTAGGCAGGACCGACATTGGACGGCAATTTGACGCTATGAATAGTCTCGAGGGTTTCGACAGATCGTACACTGACGCTGGTGGGCGACAAGGTTGCAATCAGGTTACCATCAGGACTTGACGCGCAATGTGGCGATGCTGTCGATGGTAAGCCTTGGGGAAGAGAATGGATGAGAAGACGTTGAGAGCCTTACATCTGAAGATCCTTGAAAAGTGCATGATGCATGGAGTTGGGGAGTTATGTGTCGGGAGGCGTGAGTGCGATATGAAGCCCAAGTACGGTACTTTACCTTGGTCAGGTATGATGCGTATCCGTAAGATACCTACTTACTTACCCAAAAGCGAGCCTGGCTTGTTTAGGAAAGTGAGACAAGGTAAGTGAGGTCTACCGAGTATCACTCAGGGAAGCATCAAGGGACGGGTGTTTTTGCCGAAACGAAACGAAACGAAGCAGGGTTTCTTTTTGGTCTTTGGGTGAGGATGAATTGGGCAAGCGTTCCTGAATCTCGGCAGCGGTGGAGTCTTGAAGAAAAGCCGTTGTTACAATGGAAGGAAACAAGGTGCTCGTCTGGATCTTTGTTGTTTACATTGATTCCTGTTCGGGACTAGCGCGGGGCAGCACTACAAGATACCTTACCTTGAGGGCTTAGTCAGGCCGCGTTTTCTCCAGTGTCTATTGTCCGGGCTCTCTCCGGCTCCATGGAAGTTGCCGGCCGGACGACGATGGGAAAGGACACCAGGGACCAATCATCACTGCCCTATTTCGCCAGCACCTCAATCGCCGCCGAACCCCGCCAGAGTCCAGACATCCTTCGCCCAACTCCGTCGACCCCGGTGACCTGTGCTTGTGCTTGTGCATACGCCCTTCAGCGGTACTGAGCGGCTCTGTTCCCCTCACTTAGTCTCACTTTAGGTGGTGCAGAGTAGTCGCTTTAGTGTTGTCTGTTGTCTATCAACGGGCTTACCTCACTCGCAAATAGGTAATCGCCACGCTTCTGCTGACTCACAGTGTCACATATCTCATCGTCGTGATAGCAATTTCACTCCTCGCTCTTGATCGAATCTAATTTTCATCCATCTCATAGTCTCCATTTTCATTTCATCGACAATCATCATCACATGTCAGTGTTTGTGTCAGCCATGGGAATGAGCAGCGTGTGATTATTCCTCTTTTCTCTTTTCTCGGAGCTCATCTCACTCATCGCCTCTCACATTTCCTCATACTGAGATAGAGCGTCATGAGACACAGCATATCATGGCCTCGCACTGCCTTGCGCAGCAGCGGCCAACTATCACAACGATGCAGACCATCACAAACGGCATGCATACCTCACACGCACACGCAGACGAGGTGTCTGAATGCGGCTGCCGCTGCAGCCCAAGTCACACCGAGCTCCCAGCACCAACCACTTACCACCCGCCGCCGTCTCATCAAGGATGCGAAGCCCTTCTCCGACTTCCTTATCGATACCTTCCACCGTCAGCACGATTACCTCCGCATATCCGTCACGGAACGCTGTAACCTTCGCTGCCTCTACTGCATGCCCGAAGAAGGCGTGCCGCTCTCCCCGACAAAGGAACTTCTCACCACCCCGGAAATAGTCCTCCTCTCCTCCGTCTTCGTCTCCCAGGGGGTCACCAAGATCCGCCTGACGGGCGGCGAGCCCACGGTGCGGCGCGACATCGTCCCGCTCATGCACCAAATCGGCGCCCTCCGGCCCCACGGCCTCCGCGAGCTGTGCCTCACCACCAACGGCCTCTCCCTCCACCGCAAGCTCGACAGCATGGTTGAGGCGGGGCTCACCGGCATCAACCTAAGCCTCGACACCCTGGACCCGCACATGTTCCAGATCATGACCCGACGCAACGGCTTCGACGCCGTCAAGAAGAGCATCGACCGCATCTTTGCCCTTAACAAGGCCGGCGCGGGCATCAAGTTCAAAATCAACTGCGTCGTCATGCGCGGCCGCAACAACGCCGAGATCGGCCCCTTTGTCGAGATGACGCGCGACAAAGACGTTGAGGTTCGCTTCATCGAGTACATGCCCTTTGACGGCAACAAGTGGAACAAGGGCAAGATGCTGGGCTACGCCGAGATGCTCGACGTCATCCGCGAGACGTACCCTACCTTGGCCAAAGTCGAGGACCACAAGAACGACACGAGTAAGACGTGGCACGTCCCCGGGTTCGCGGGCAAGATCGGCTTCATCACGAGCATGACGCACAACTTTTGCGGGACGTGCAACCGGCTGCGCATCACGAGCGACGGGAACCTCAAAGTGTGCTTGTTCGGCAACACGGAAGTCTCGCTGCGGGATATTCTTCGGAAATCCAACGGTGGCGAGCCCATTGACGAAGCGGCGCTCGAGGCGATGAAGCAGATTGAGATGGACCGCCGGCAGGGGCTGGCGGACGCTGGGAAACCGCTGGGCACGGCGCTGAACGAGGCGGAGCTCCTGGACGTCATTGGTATGGCTGTGAAGCGGAAGAAGGAGAAGCATGCGGGTATCGGGGAACTGGAGCACATGAAGAACAGGCCGATGATCTTGATAGGTGGGTAACCGCGGCTCCTTTTCTCTCCTACACTCTTGGTCGGTTGGTTTTGAGGGAAAGATTGCCTGCTTGGTTTATTTGCATTGGGAAGGCGTTGGATACCAAGGGGATGGTCGCATGGCATGAATGCTCAATGAGGATTCATACGAAACGTATATATGTATGTGCACATGAATGGAAGGCTGAATCAATAGTTTATCTAGATTTTCAACCGCTTCAACCTTCTCGTCTATCATCTCTCACCAGTATCTCCAAGCCAATGTCAATGAGCACGCCCATCAACCTCAACCAGGCATCTCCACGCCGTCCTCTAAGCGTGTCAGAGGTACCCATCCACCTCCTCGCCCAAACAACACATCACCACACTCAACTCAGACCCTTCTCTTCAGCCACCACTTGCCGCCGCAACGACGACTCCGACAAGAAGAGCAAGGCCAACAAGACAGAAGAGCCCCCCAAACCATTCCTAACGCACATCTCCCCTACAGGCTCAGCCCATATGGTCTCCATCGCCGCCAAGTCACCCACCGCCCGCATCGCAAAAGCAGCCTGCACGATAACCTTCTCCTCCCCGTCCCCCATCAACCTCATCCGCGCCTCCCAGATGAAAAAAGGCGACGTCCTCGGCACGGCGCGGATCGCGGGCATCATGGCCGCCAAGCGCACGCCCGACATTATCCCGCTGTGCCACCCGATCCTGCTCTCCCACATCGGCGTCGAGGTCGAGCCGGCCAGCGAGGCTGACGACGAGACGGTGATTTGTGTCGAGGCGACGGTTGAGTGCGAGGGCAAGACCGGGGTCGAGATGGAGGCTTTGACGGCTGCTGGGGCGGCGGCGATGACGGTGTATGATATGTGTAAGGCTGTAGATAAGGGGATGGTGATTGGGGGGTTGAGGGTTGTCTTGAAGGATGGGGGGAAGAGTGGCCGGTGGGAGATGCCTTGAGGGGAATTTTTGTGTAAGGATCTTCCATCTTTATGCATGACTACGATGAAGTTGAAGCTAGTAACTAGAGGCTCAAAAACTGCACAGGACAGGAGGAAAGGATGCTGGTCGCTGTGATGGATCTGAATATAGAGCAGACCAGATCCCATTTGGAACAAGACTGATGTACCTCAAAGCTAGATGGCAAGGCGTACTTCGACTTAATTCCAAAGACACCCCAGGTGCCACCCAGAGAGTGGGTTAAGCAAGAAGAGGAGAGAGAAGAAGAAGCAGCCCTTCAGTGAAGATTTGACATCCCGAACATCCACAAGCTTAAGCACCTAGCTAGAAAACGGACCAGTCCATACCTAAACACCTCAAAACTTCTCTCTCGTTTGAAAGCACAAAACCGTGCGCAGCAACAGCAAGACAGCCCCAAACACTCATGGCGATCACGGTGGGATGACTTACAAGGCGAAAATACCTAACAAACGAGTCAACAGCATACATTCCCCCCTCTCTCCCTACGTCAAAGAATACCCCCCGTTCAGGGAGCGACAAGATTCAAGACCTAAATTTCATTATAGGCCATTCATTCACAGGCACCTCGCTTTCAAAGCGTATTCGTTGTGCAATACGGCCAGGATCAGCACGCCCTCTACGAGGTGGATGGGAACGGGCAATCACCTTACAAGGTCTTTGTGTGCTGGATTTCACCCTATCGCGTTGTATAGTCCGCATGAGTGAATTGCTTCACCGGATTCTGTTGCGCTCTTTCTAAGGAGCAGTGCAGATCAAATTGCTTATTGCAGTTCGGATATGAGATATATACCTTTCAGTTGATACTAAGAACCAGAATTTTAGACTTCAACTTGGCAGTGTAGGCTGCCCCTGATACCTTAGACATCTCTTACGAATCAAGTTTGTATCTACATAGGTGAGTGGGCATATTGAGAGGTACTTATATAGCAGATCGGCTGAGCATCGGTACAGATGAATTGGTCAACATTTCTTGCTTCCTCAACAAAGTAGATGCGTACGAAGGTTTAGTCGGGAGATGATCAAACGGCATGTTTGGAGGACCAAGTCTGATGCTGTGAAGCTGAGACGATGTTAATCATGACACCAAAATGTGACAATTTGCTATGGGAGTTGGGTATAGCTACAATAAAATGTACTCCGCCAACCTCTCTCTCTCTCTCTCTTTCTCTCTGTCGACTCCATCTTTTATACAATCTCAATTCATATTACTCTCCCTCCCTCTCTCATCACCCATTCTAAACCTCCAAAAAACCATAGAATCTCCATCTCTACGAAAACTCAGCTTTAATCTCTTTCCCAACATTCATTGCAATCCAATCCGCAATAGCCATATTCGTAATCATGGGATTCACCCCGCTCGCGCTAGGGAACACACTCGCGTCCGCAACAAACAGATTCTCCGTACCCCAGACATGCCCCTTGGGCCCCACCACGCCCTCGTCCTCGTTAGGCGCCATACGGCACGTACCCATCTGGTGCGCAGACGAGAAGATGGCCACGGGCGGCGCGTTACCCACCCGGCGCAACTTATCCAACCACGCGACGAACTTGGGATCGTTGACGCCGTCGAGGATCGCCTCGTCGCCGCTGTCCGAGGCTGAAGATGACGCGGCCGCAGCTGTCTCCTTCTCCTTTGAGGGAGGCTCGGCGTGGTCATCCTTGACGAAAGGCTCGAGACAGGGCAGACCGGCGTGGATCTCCGTCGCGCCTTCGACGTAGCAGATCTTGCAGAGGGCAACGACGCCCTCGAGGGTGTTTGCGCGGTCAAAGTCGGAGACAACGTAGTCGATGCGGGGGCGGCCGGAGACCGGGTCCGGGTACACACGGCCCGGGTCGCGGTCGCGGGTAAGGGAGATGAAGGCGCCAAAGTGGCGGAAGCGGAGCTCGCTGAGCTTGGCTTGAAGGCCGGAGTGCCAGGGCATGCTGGACAGGATTGCATAAGGCTGTGGATGTGTTAGTGAATAAATTGGCTTACAAAGCTTAGAGCTGGGACGTACAATCATGCAAGTAGGCTCCAGCTTCACACCGTGGCCGGCCTTGTCGAGGTCCTCAAATGAGGAACAGTAACTCGTGATAATACCACCTATGTTCACTTCACGTCAGCAACCAGAACACACGGATGTACGATGTGATGTTGAGCAACTCACCCTCCCATGGCTTGCAGTCCTCCTTCCAGTAGCCTCCCACAAAGTTACAGGGATGAACATAGAGATTGCGGCCGAGGTGACGGTTCTAAATGTGACGTTAGCAGAGCGGACAAAAAATCGCTATATAGAGAGGCGACATCGTCTACTCACCGTCAGACCGCTCCTCAACAACACCAAGGGACTTGAAACTGATCCAGCAGACATGATGACCTTCTTGGCCTTGATAACAACTTGCCGCGTGGTCCGCTGCTCCAAAGGCGCGCTGGTACTGCCATTGGCTCCCCTTGATACCCATTTTCCAACCACGCCCGTCGCTCGCCTGGACCCGCTGGATTCGTCAAAGGTGACCTTCTCAACCTCGAAGCCCTCGATAAACTTGGCTCCAGATCCCGCCGCCGCCGGCAGCCAGCTCACGGTAGGACCCTGCTTCTCAGTCGACCCACAGCCGAGATGGCACTGTCCGCAATAGTGCTCCATTCCGCCCGTGTTTTGCGGAGCCGTGGCGGCGTGCCATCCGAGCTTCCGGGACCCGTCTAACAGCACTTGGTTGCGGTGGTTGTGGCGGACCTTGTCAGCGCTAACGCCCATGAAATCGCAAACCTTGTCAAGGCAGTTCTGGAACTGAGGCGAGGTGAAAAAGGGCAGGCCACGCTGCTCAGACCACTCTTTGCGGACGAATCCTTGCGTCTGGAGACTGACGCTCCAGTTGACGGTGCCACCGCCACCCCAGCAGCTGCCGGCGACCATGTTGAGCGAATTGTCATCGCTGGTGATGAAGCCTCCGTTCTCGTACAGAAACGAGCAGCCGGCATCCTGGGACATGGGGAGCTGACTCGGGGTGTAGTAGTACGACTTGTCGACAACGAGGACCTTATGACCTGCCTCGGCCAGGACCTTGGCAGCGACTGCTCCTCCGCAGCCCGACCCGACGATGACGACGTCGGTCTCTACAACGGCCGGCTCACCAGCCGACTCAAACTGCATAAAGTTGAAGTCGAAGCCCTCGCCGTGCGTCTGAAAGTCCGGCATGTCGGTGTAGTCAGTCAACTCTATGAACAAAGGATTGGTCTGCACAGCGGCCTTTTGCGCCAGGAGACATATTGACTTTGATAGGACCCTGATTGTGGGGAGCCTGGACGTTTGCCAAGCCTTCAAAATCTGCTCACGAACTTCTATGGGTTGAAGGTGAACCGGGGTCCAATAACCGGTGAGAAACAAAGTGCCGGCGCGCGTGCTGTCAGTTTGGTCAGTTATGGTTCACGGTGGAGATCAAAAGTGAAGCGTCGTGGTGGCGTTCACGATTCATCACTTACCCAAGAGCGCCCATGGCGCCACCGAGCTGACGTTGCGCGCCGGACGGCAGGGCCGCAAGTGTCCTGGTGATGCTCTCGATGAATTTGGGTTCCTTTGCGGGGTTGTGCGCCATGTACTCCTGGAACTTCTCCTCGGAAGGCGGTTTCTTCATGGTGTTCTGAGCGAGTTGGAGCGCAGCCGCATATTCAGCATCAGACACTCTGATCTGGTTCGCTGTGTCTGTGAGAGTCGCTGGTCGTGAGATGGGCGGGAGGACCGCCTCGAGCAAGGACATCAGAACGGACCATTGAGTCTCGTTCCAAAAGTCGGTGGTCGGCAACGCCGGAAGCTGGAGCTCGACGGCGGTGCCAGGAATGGTCTTTGGCAGAGTAGCCATGATGAAGCGGATTGAAGCGTGGTGGTAAGTAAATACAGAGAGATGAGAATAGTAATCAAAGGGGACGAGTCGGTGGTACAACGCGATACAACGTAGAAATAGCTATAAGAAGGAGTAGAAGAGCAATGACAGCTACAAAGTTACGCAAGGTCGGATGAGGGGGCAGCTTTGGAGTTAGCTATAGTCCCAATTGACACATGAGCGATGAAAAGGCACCTCGGAAGCTCATGCTCAACTGATGTTAGGATGTGTGGGAAGGCAACGGGAAAACGAGTCGTCGTTGGCTGCCCCCTGCTGCTCGCATGGTGGTGCTGCAGGGGTTCGTGTTTGCCATGGATGCGGGGTCTGTGCGACGAAGCATCTCAATGGATCTCTCCATAGCCATCTCCTCTCTCTGACTCTCTCTCTCTCTCTCTCTCTCTTTCTTTCGCTCTGGCTGTCTCCTCAGGCAGATGGGACCCTATTCCCGATCCGGTGTGCTAAGGAGGTGGCCAAACATTCAGTCAACCGCCAGCTTCGCGGCTAAAGATTGGACACCACGATTAGTTTTGAACCGTCTCGTTGTTTGTGGTTGCAGAATCCTTCAAAGAGGAGTCTCGGACCTATGATTCCCCCCACCGGACCTGGCCAGCAGAGCTGTCAACACCATAGATGTGCAGCTTACTCTCTGCATTGGCGGGGTACGGCGCTACTGAGCGGCACTTGGGCGCATGTAACCCCCTCAACCCGGGCGCGAGTGGCGTAGTGCGGGAACGGGGAATCGAGAGAAGCTGCTTGATGCGGGGAACGGGGACTTTGGCTCGATGGTAACGGGGCCTCGTCGGAACCCGATAGTTTCTTCATCAGTCATCACCAAATAAAAGGTCCTTTCGACGCCATATTCACGGTATCCCACTGCATGAAGCAATACCATAGTGGGAGCAAAGAGACGCCCGACGCGGCATCCAATTGTCGAACGAAGAGGGACGCGGCTGCTGCACGTGTTGCCTCATGTCCAGACTTCCCAAGCGTCTGGGTCTTGAAACGACACAGCCGCGAGCTTATGTTTGTCGATATTTCAGCCACCATGGCCCCAGATGATGGTCAGATCGTCGGATCCGCCCGTTCACCTAAAAAGTGCACAGCGACGCCAACAGGAATGATGCCGGGTTGACTGCTGCAGATCGTACGTTACCGTGGCTTGGGGTGAGATTCTTAGATTGTGGGGCAGATCGATGATGCGTCTCATCGATTCGACCGGGAAGCATTGAGCCTCGGCTCGCATGGACTGAATGAAACGGGCAAGAACACACATACGTTTCTCAGCCGGCCTTTGTATGAAGTTGTTTATTGGGATGTGATCAGATGGTCCGTTGGCATGGCCACGATCTTATTCGGAGAATCACAACTGGCATTGCCAGGATCAAATGTCTGCAAAAGTTGTACGCCTTGCAGGCGCCGAACCGGTCGTCACGGACCCGGTATCGGGTAACCCGCCGCCTCTTCCGTCTCAAACACAGCTGCTCCAATCCATGGCTAGCAACTTGCGGACACCCGGCGCCGTGTACTGTGCCGACACATGAGCCAAGGGACCAGTTTCCGCTCCGGCGCTAATGAGAACGGCGCAGCCCGGCCCGAGGGTATCCGGGTCCGACTGCCGGTCGCGCATCGGGCCCACCACTTGGCACCATCAACTTCTCCGGGGGTCTACGAGCCCGGGCGAGCGGACATGTAAGCGGCGAATCGACCTGACACTGACAGCAGGCGGACGTGGCCCGGTGGGTACGGTGGCCAAAATGCAAGATTGGCTCCCCCTCAAACCTGCAGCCACAGGCCGCGGCTAAACCAGATGTGGACACTTTTCAGGGTCCAGCGGCGGGTCTATCCATCCGTGCAAGGGGGGCTGGGTGTCATCTGGCGATGGGCGGTCTGGCGGCCAAGAGGGTTCAAAGGGGAAGCTGGGGCCGGGGTTTGCCTTTGAAGCCGAATTTGTTGGGGAAAGGAAACGAGAACGACTTGAAAAAATGCATGTGAGAGTCGATCTGCGAAGAATTGTTGACTGACGGCGAACAAGGCGCGTAAGCCAGCAAGCCCTTCCTGGTCGGCTGATTTCCGTGTCGTAACTGTGGTAGGCTGCCGTGAGAAAGAAGATGGATTACTGGAGACGGCTTTGTTGTAAGTGCGAATGTTGGCTGTACTGTAAAGAGGCACGAGAGGTACGCAAGAGACTGTTGTGTGAGTGTTACCACCAATGCATTATGTCATATCTGCGCAGGTTGAGACTCCAAGCTGAGGCTTCAATGTGTACGGCTGCTTAGTACCAGCAAGCCTTGTTATCGTCAAGCAACGCACTCTAGTCCATTCCGGCCGAGTAGGCTGTCCGCTCCGAGCTCGTGTGACAATCTCACCATCGACAGATGACGGAATCTTGGTCGCGTACCGCTTTGAGAAGCACGGGGAGACCGTGAAGATCAAGGCCCTTGTCGCTCACATGCCAAATGATGGTCATCCAGCGGCTTCGTGATGATTAGATAACGGGAGAAAGAGGGTCCTTACCAACAAGACCGTCCGTAGTCGAGAAGTGGAAATCAAAAAGAGAGGGAAGAAAAAAAACTTCGATACGATGAAGAGAAGATTGGCAGAATTGGGTTTAGCGTTCCCCCAACAAAAAGGACGAAGGTCGGGTAGCCATGCTCCACGGCGGATGGACACTTGATGATTCGTGACGTGGACTACTTCATGCGCGTTAGTGCACAACACTAAAGGACACAACTGGCGTTATCAGAAAGCATGTCCAACAACAGAGAGTACTTGTCACATTCCCCACTAACAACCCACAACGGACCAGGGGTATCTTGCAAGGAGCGTCAGCCTGGGCTTCCAGAAGGACGGCGATGGCCACGGGCCCTTGACAACCCAGCTGCAAGTCTCCAGGATGAGAATGGCGTTGCGCAGACTTGACTTGTGATTATCAAGTCCAATACCCGCCAGGACTTCAGGAGTCCGGAGCCCCCGATGGGAGTTCGTCAGAGGCGGTTGTCCTTGCGGGCCTTGCCCAACATTGATCTCTTGGTGATCTCTTGCGTAGCCATTGCATAACGTCCAACGTAGCGTGACCCAAGGGCACTGACTGAGCGCAAGACAGCGAGTGCCACTGCGAGCTCTCATAATGCCAACAGAGGTGTCGAGGTTGGGCCGGCGAGTGAAAGCCGTGGCCATGTCCCGGAAATAGAGTTAGAGCTGGTGTCCAAAGCTCCCAATGCGCCATTGCCGTTGTCGGAAAGACAAATGTCTGGAACTTGGCTGGGCAATGTGGTCTGGCAACGTGCCCAAGCAAGATCCATGTCGCAGCTTTTCAACCGTTTCAAAGCGCCTGACGAACTGCGCAAATCGGTGGGTGAGAGGCTGCGAGGTATCGTACAGACCAGACCAGACGTATGGATACAGGGCGCAAAGGCTTTTTTCTCATCGTTCAACGTGCGTTGCTCGATCGGTTGAACCCTTCTGGGACATTTGCTCCGGGCGTGGAAACCCGTTGGCAGACGCATTTCGGCGTTGCCATATCGCCGTCTAGTCAGTCGCAAATTTGCAAGAATGGTTGTCAACTTGTCGTCTTCTTCAAGGCTCAAGCTGTTGGTTTCCCCCCCGCCCGTGTTCTTGGTAGCTTGTATCTTTGGCGTTGCTCGGGCCCATCCTGCAAATCCCCCCATGCCTGGGGCGCCAGGATGGGCTTTAAGGACGGAACAAGGATGATGTCGAAAGAAGCCGAGGCAAAACGTGAGGATTTTGGTCATTTTAGAGCAAGTTGAGCTTGGATGGGAAGAGATGGAACCGAACCGAACCCACCCCCATCCATCCATCCTTCCAGTAGTGCCAATGTGGTCGAGGCCGTTTACCTTAACATGAACCGGTGATAGCTTTGCGGTGCCTTTCGTCCGTTGTCAAGCTTGAAGGTGTTATTCATGTGTCTCTCAACAATGTTCAAGGTTGGTGTACCCAGCAAGTATCCACAACGCTAGGAGGGGAGGTACAGACGGCATACTCACGTACGAATGGATACATACTCTGTAGGCCCCGGTCTTTTGTCTCCAGACAGCTGGTCACTGGTGAGGAAGAACGGAAAGAAGATGCGCCTCTTGGAGCTTGGCAGGACCTGGTGTGTCGAATCGACGGCCGCGGATGTCAGTGGTGGAATCCACATTGAGTAGTACCTCCCGCGGCCACCCGAAAGCCGGGCAAGCGCGCACGAGAGAATTGCGACTTCAGGAAGGCGGCGAGGGCCAGGTGCGCCTGCATTTTCCCGGCATTTTTGGGTTTTGCTCCGTCCGTTGTTGTCAAGTACTTCGGTAAGGTACCTGAGGTAAGGTACCTTACATGATGTACTCCTACGCAGGAGGGAGGAGGAAGGATGGAAGGCGCGTTAGATCTCGAGCTTTCCAAATTCACCGATGCCTGGATTCTCCCAAGACTTTACCTTCAATTCTTCTCGTGTGTGGCTTGAAAAGTCGAGAGAGTGCATGGTTGTGTGTGTGTGTGTGTGTGTGTGTGTGTGAGAGGTACATGAGCAGTACGTGCTTCAACGTCGCATAGCATTGAGAAGCTAGTATGGGCAAGACGAGACATGACAAGGCAAGCCGCAAGACAAGACACCACGACATCAGATACCTCATCTTCCACCAAACTCACCAGACTCTATAAGGTGGTCTGGAGCAAAGACAGCAAGCCGCCTTGCCGTTGCCGTTGGCCGTGCCGCACCTGACACTTCCCGTTGTGCTTTTCAACTATCCGTAAGCAGAAACTTGACGTGCGTGCGCCTTTTGTATGGTCTTGATTTGCATCACCTCGTCTCGCCTCGCATCTGATCCGTTCCCTTGCTGTTGCGCCTTGGCCTCAGCAGCATTGCTTAGGATTAAAGCCCGAGCAAAAGAGACAAACTTCTTTCCCGCTTCCTCCCTGACTGCAGAGTGACGCCTGATCAAGACACTCCCCGCCAGATCCATCACTTCACCCGAAGCTACGTATCCGTACCTACGAACATATACTTGGTACTTGGTGTACCAGGGTGGAGGGGTGTTGACGAAGGGGAAGGCAAGGCACGGTATCCGTAAGGTAAGGCAAGGGAAAAAGGTGGGAGGGGAGGAGCCGCTGGTCTTAGTCTCAGCACATTATCCACTCCTCTCTCTGGGTGACGGGTCACACACTCTCTCTCTCATCCAGAATTTCAACCTTCCCCTTCCCCATATTAAGACCTCGAGGATCCCTTCGCATTGACCTTGTCGTCTCTGCCGTTCTTTCTTCTTTCTCTATTCTCTTCCTCTCTCCCAAGCTCACTCGGCAAACTCTCGTCTCCTTCGAACAGCCCCTCGTTGGACAGGAACGTTGTCTTGGATTCTGTCTCGAGCCTTCTCTTTCGGCAGACCTCTCTGTGCTACTCCATCCAGAGAAAAAGAGCCCCCATCTCTCTATCTTGTCCTCTCTTCTCTCCCACGTTCGTCCACCACCGCTTCCGGACCGAACTGCATACCAGTCGCTCGACGATCGAACCGACTACCGTCTATTCCACCACCGAGACAATACTTGAGTGTGTTAGCACTACAGCTTCCAGTCTTCGTGCCGAGACATTACTGTCAAGAACGACTTTCGAACGTGCGTGCATTGTGTGTCTAGCTTGCTTTTAGCTTGTCACTCCAATTGCCGCGACTCAGCAAATTCCCCAACGCCCGAGCAATCAGCATTGGCGGGACCGCAACTTTTTCCAGAAAACCAAGCCCCAACTCAATTGGTCAATTAAACTCCCCCACCATGGCCGGCGTCACCGTGCTCAGCGAGCTCCCGTCTGCCTCCCTTTTCACCTTCCCGCCCGATGGCGCGCATATGGCCATTCCCCCACCTTTCCCCGGGTCCATCGCCGCCGCGCCCCCGGTCGAAATTCCCGACAACATCTTCACCGCCGCTCTTGACCCAAGAGTGCCCATCACCATTGCCACTCTCTACGCCGTCACCGTCAAGCTCCTGAACAAGTACAACAACTCGACCAACCGTAAGCCTTGGGGAATCAGCAAGACCAAGCCTTTCTTCGCCTTTGTCGTCTTGCACAATGTCTTCCTCGCCGTCTACTCGGCCTGGACCTTCTGGGGCATGCTCGGTGGCATGCGTAGGAGTGTTGTGAGCCCCTTTGGCCCCAATGGCTTGGCTGCCACTGCCGACAGCTTCTGCCAGCTCAATGGCAACGGAGGCTTCGGTGCCGCCACCGTCTACAACGAGACTGTCGGTTACTGGTCCAGCTTGACTGGCAACAATGCTCTTGGCTTTGATGGACGCCCCAGCCGTGAGGCCACTGGCAGAATCTGGAACGAGGGACTCGCCTTCTACGGCTGGATCTTCTACCTGAGCAAGTTCTACGAGGTCCTCGATACCTTCATCATCCTCGCCAAGGGCAAGCTCAGCTCCACCCTTCAGACCTACCACCACGCCGGTGCCATGATGTGCATGTGGGCTGGTATGCGCTACATGTCCGCCCCCATCTGGATGTTTGTCCTGGTTAACTCCTTCATCCACGCCATGATGGTAAGTCTTGCGCCTATCTTGCTCAATTGAAGTGTTGCTAATAATCGTCTAGTACACCTACTACACCATCACCGCCTTCAACATCCGCGTCCCCATGGCCATCAAGCGAACCCTCACCACTCTCCAGATCACTCAGTTCCTTGTCGGAGCTACCTACGCCATGGCCCACTCCTTCGTTTCTTACACAGTCCCCGTGACTGTCTACACTGCCAAGAAGGGCGCCGATGCCATCACCCAGTCTTCCACCAGCACTGCCGCCGAGACCGTTGCCACTGCCGCAACTGGCGCCTTTGAGGCTCTGAAGGACATGGTTTTTGGCGCGTCTGCCAAGGTCGCTGAGGAGGCTGCCGCTGTCTCCGTCGCCGCTGCTGCTGCTGCCCCTCCTCAGCCCGGTTTCGTTGCTGAGACCATCTTCGTCACCCAGCCCTGTGTCACCACCAGCGGCGAGACCTTTGCCATCTGGCTCAACGTCTTGTACCTGGCGCCGCTCACCTACCTCTTCGTCATGTTCTTCATCCGCAGCTACATCCGCCGCAGTACCGCCGCACCCAAGGGCAAGGGCAAGGCCCGCCGCGAGAGCAATGTTACTCTTGCGGAGAAGGCTGGCTGGGACGCCGCCCGCGAGGTCAACCGCGAAATTTACAACGGTTCTGCCTCGTACAATGTCGAGGGCAGCCCCAAGCGCGCTGTGAACGGCAAGGCCAAGCACTAGGGAAAGCTGGCTCGCATGGATCGGTTCTGGAAATAGGACGTAATGGGAAAAAAGGACAAGGGGAAATACGGCTGAAAGAGAAGCCTGAGAGAGGTCTTCTCGTGGAGGCGGCATGGGGTTTGATTCAACGGCGTTTTGAGCTGGGAAAACATGATTGGGGTAAAGCATTTGCATCACCCGGAGCGCTCGTTATCTAGTCGTGACCGTCTAGTGTCTTGCATTTCGCGCGAAGGGTAAATAGGGCGAGCCGGGTGTCATCCATCCGGTGCAAGTATGTATAGTCATCATCAATATGAAGTTTGACATGTTAAAGAGTTTCGTGCATATCGATTTTTATTCAAAGGGGTGTCGGATCGAATTTTCGACCTAGGAAATGTACTTGTCAGTCTTTCCTCATCCACCTCTGGGGTGTAAAAGCATAATTGAACAGCATCTCCGAAGCAGGGAAAGGGGGAAAAAGCCACCTCGTGTGACGACGCGGCGGCGAGATTATGGGGTACAGACCCGAGCTCTCGGGTCCGATCAGCCGGACCATCTTCTCCGCAATTTTCGTCGTCTTCCGGATGCGGGTGGGGGTCTAAACCGGAGCTCACTCCGACGCGGTCGATATAGGGGGTGGATATACGGAGGTCGAATTCGCCATGCCCGTTTTCAGCCCCCCTCTCTGATTCACCCGCATATCCACCTTGTCGATCTCTCGGCTATTTGTCTCTGATTTTTCTGGAGAAAGTTGTCTCTGGGTGGGTGACTCAGTTATAATGTTTTCGAGTGAAACCGTATGCCCACGTCACGCGACATAAGAGCTGCTTCAAATGAGTCGCCGAGTCAATACGTTTGGTGAAGCTTTGACGGTATTGATGAATTCGTGGAGACTGGAATGATCGCTGTAGATTGTCAGTTAGATCAATGCTATACCTAGTCCTGCTGTTCGGGGGGTGTAAGCAAGGTAGTTGTCGTCGATTCTTCAGAAACGGTTTCGGCCACGATACGAGAGTGCCGATTACGCCACCAAACATTGGAGCGAGCTCGTTGCTGGATATACGACCGGGGCATGGAGGTAATACGAAAGTCCGTTCTCTACAAATCATGTATTTCTTGTCTACTCTCTTCTTGAATCGCCTCAAATGGTAGTCCAGATTCTGAAAAGGAAAAGTTCCTCGATGCGATGAGGCGCAGAAAGAATCGAAATGTAGTACTTGCCTTGTGTGGCGAGATGTATCGAACGCCTTGCATATGTACGGAGAGCTTGTTCATAGAGTACGGCGTTTCGCTTCCAACTCGCGCATAACGACCGTCCGGAATAGGCAGCCTTGGATGAATTAGGCAGAGAAACTAAGAGAGGAAAGACCAAGCAAGTCTATCTTGGGGAACACATGGGATTGTGGATTCGCGGGGGTGGGGGTTTTCGTTAGCCCTTTGCTGATCGTTGTCGATGTCCGCTGCTTTCGTCCAACCTTGTGTAACTTCGCCTACTAACCTCATGCTCTGTAACTCGTTGTATACGGGCACTTTTCTAGTTGAGGTTGTGTTGATTGTGTAGTGGTGTTTCTTGACACATATCCGCGTCCTCCATACATAGGAATCTAACTACCTCCCTCGAACGGTTCATGGCTTTCAACGTTACAGCTTCGTCATGTGTTCATCTGCAACGAGCAGACTTGAACACAAGTCGCCGCCTGGAGAAGTGACATGTCCCATGGCGTGGGAGGCTCTCAAGGTACCAGCAAGAGAACATTCCCATGCTCGAATCATTCTCCTGCCGCCACAAGCCAGGCTAACAACGCTCTTGCAGAGTCATCTACTATTGGAGCCAAAGCAAAAAGCGGCGAAGACCTCGGTAGACGAATCACAATGACGCTTACGGCGATGAATCATACAACAGGCACATACCTACATGAACTAGGTACACGTACTACACATGCGCACACCCCCCTTCTACTCGTCGTTGTCCAAGATCCTACTTATGAGCTAGTCTCTTAGTTCTCCTGTCCCCAAGCTCCCCCTCAAGCTAAATCGAACCGCAGTAGGCGCGGAGGCCACCTCGCTACAGGTGTGTGTGTTTGGCCTCACCTCCTCTTCTTGCTCACCGTGACCGCCTCTCCTAGCTAATATCTGGGCCTTGCATCTTGCGTTTCCTCACCTACTACAGAGGCTCCCAAGTCGAGTTTAGCCTGTCCGGGCTCGTTTACAGCACACTCTCTTGACCCGCCTCCCAAATACAAACGAATCCGCGAGGAAGAAGATGGCAAAAATATCAGCAGCATAGCAACACGTGGGAAATCTGAACAAATTAAGTTGAATGGGAAAGGGAAAATGTGAGCAGTCAGATGGCAAGAAAAGAGACAACAAGATCACCAGAGGAAACGAAGGCGCATGCCCGTCGAGGTCCGACGTTGGATTCGATTGTAAACGCTAGGCTATCTTCGGCTCAAGAATGATGACCACCACCACCACCACCACCACCACCACCAACAACCGACGACCTGCCTTCCACTGCACACGACCTATGCTGACCGATTCTACTCCGCATAGGTCAACGACATCTGACCGTTGAGCGGTGAGTCAAAGCATCAAGACAGGTATCAAGAATGCTCCCGACACCCAAAGAGAAAGACATCATGAACGTCCGATGTGGGCGTGCAGGCAACAGCTGCTATAAGTTGAAAAATCCATCGCCGAGGCAGGGTTGCCTCCCCTCTACAACCTTCGTTCCGGCACTCGCGTGATACATTGGAGCGCTCTGTAAGCTAGTAGAAGTGAGTCCATCCAAGCACTTGGACTCACCTATACCCATGTTGGGTAGGTAGCAGAGCAAAATTGTCCAATGCCACTCATCGATATTGGTGGCATATTCAGCAGGGTATACTCAGAAGACCATGCATGCTTCTGACGGCGAGCACATGAATTCTTATCCTTGTAGGACGCTATGCTATGTATGTAAAGAATATTCATCAGCGTACCAAGATGGGCAGAAGTCAACGTACAAGACTATCGTCACATCGCAATTACGTTTACCAAAGGCTTCCTAAGTAAGCATGAAGTCCACGCGTAACACCCTAACCAACGAGATCATATTAGCTCCTTAAGGACGTCGCACTCGATCTCCAAGCAGCACGCAGCTCAGTAACGGCATCGATGAGAAAAACGTCAACGGATAACTGGTCTTTCCCTAGTCAACACTGCAAACACGCGAAATACCCGAGTGACAGGCTGTAAGCCACTAGGACAACATGGACGGACGTCCGCGCCCTCATAGATACATCACATACCATCACTGAAATCACAAGTCACCGATAAGCAAAGGTTTGCAGTCAATGGGAGAATTTGTTTGCAATTGTTTGTATTGTTTCTTCCGAGACCTCAAAAAGGGTGATAGAGGCAGAGACCGGCTGGACTCGGCCACCAGCGCAAACAAGGTTGGCTGCGTGCCCGCCCCGTCCAGGTTGTTTCCCACTTCCCTCTTTGCCCCCCCTCTCTGGGTCTCCAAACCATCAACCAATACGGTGACGGCAACTCTAAATACACGCAACGCCGATCCATGAAGGCGTTCGGCCGACTTGCTGCGCCCTCTCGTCTCTTTTCCCCCATCTCAGGTGTAAGATAGTCATACCCCCGGATGGAGACCCGAGTACGCGGGGCGAAAAGCATGTGGCCGTCACATCAGGGTATAAGCCTTCAGAGGGGTATGCCGCTAAAACTCCGTAGAAACTGGAGTGTCGAAAAGTTAAGAGCCCGATTGTATCGCTTTCCCGTAAAAACAACCCTTATTCATATGCGATCGATATGGGTGGGAGTTTGGCAAAGCCAAACCCGAGTCTTTGAGTATCCGTCCAACGCCACGCTGTAAATGCAAAACACAGTCCAAGCCAATCCCGGCTGGGCTCCAAAACCGGTGAAGCGTTCTAATGCGGATGAAAGTGATAATGGGTGACGCATGGTGCAGTCCATTAGTGGGTATTGGTGTATGTCGAAGGGGTGTTTGAGTTTTTAGTGATTTTCCATGTCTGGTGTCGTCGGGCGGTTGGTGAGAATCGCCACCGGCGTGTGAGTAAGTCTATGATTCTTTTGTTTCGCGCTTCATTAAGGCCGTGAGTCGTAATCCGCTAGGTGCGAGGATACCCCTGTGCTTTCTTTGTCGTCTCCAATGCACAGTGTACATTTAGAATGTGCTCCAGTTCCAGTCGCGAGGAACACTGGCGGCTACCTCGGGGCCCTTGGTAGGGGGAAGCATGCCAGGCATCATCGGGGCAACGGGGCTCGCGACGATGGGGCTCGACGGGGTGCCAGAGGAGTCGGAGCTCTGGTCGCTACCGCTGCGGCTGCCGTTACGGCTCTTCCATACCTTAAATTCGGTGAAGCAGTGGAAACAGGCGCGAGCGAGGGCTCCTCGGGGGTTGTAGTTGCAGTCCTCATCCAGAGGGATGACTTCGCCAGAGTGGGCACCGCAGAAGATGTTGCCACAGCGGCGGCAGTGATGGCGGCGGTTCAGGGCGTTGAACTTGCGCTTGCAAGTCGGGTCGTCGCACATGATGGACTCGGAGTCGGGCTATTGGGGTTTTGTTAGTTCGATGCTACAAGACGGATGGGCGGACTTTTTCAGAAGAGTTGACATACCTTCCAGTGCTTGCGAGTGGGCTCGCCAGCGACGTCGGGAAAGAGCTCCGGGTCCAGCTCGAGGTCAATAACCTTGCCACTGTCACCGGTAGAGCGGCGCGACAGCTTGGCTCCGAGAACGCTGAAGCCGGGGAGGCTGATGAAGCTGCTGTTGGCGCGGCGCAAGCAGAGAAGATCCTCGCCGTCGAGGTCCTCGACCTTGGGAGCGCGCGGCTTCTTGGAGTGGTGCTGATTCGGGCGGAGGACGGCGGGCACGTAAACGGGGCGAACCGACTCGGTGAGGCACGACTTGGGCGAGGTGGGAGAACCCTCGTGAGGAGTGCTCAAGGGCGATGTGCGGTTGCGGAAGGGCTGCGGTTGCGGTACGGTCTGGAAGGACTGAGATCGGGTGTGTGTGAAGTGAGGGCGGTCCTGGGGGTAGAAGGAGGGGCCGCGCTGCTCGGCGAGGGTAGGCATTATGAGGTCGGTTGCCATTGTGTCGAAGTCGAGGTGAGGTTGGTTTGTAGGAATTGTTGGTGTAAGTGAAGCTTGGCGGTGAAGGATGCAGGGCGTCCTAGGTGTCCAAGGCGCTCGATTGCTGGAATTCGAAAGGGCGCGTGGTTGATTTCTCGTGAGAATCGACGATGGGAAGCAACGGATATTTGTTGCGGCGGAGTGTTTGGTGATTAGAAAAAGTGAACGAGACGTGGTTGTGGCGTCGCGTTATTCGGGAATGCTTCGTATTAAATCTGGTGTAAACCGTGGATCAAAGCGGTGCCGAAGAGAATCGTAGAGGTATTGGGTATAGTTGTGGTTGTATTGGGTGGTGGTTGTTGGTGTAGAGATAAGGATGCGCTGTGCCACCAAACGAGATCGTACTTTTGGGGTTTGCTTGTGAATGTGAGGTGTAAGTGAGGTGTAGATGACCTGATCGGGAGTGGTGAGGGAGGAGGCAATCGCAGCAAGATAAAGATGCGTGCGTTGCGATGGAGGGGAGCGGATTGGTGAAGTAGTTTGGGCGGGATGCTTGGGGTCTAAATGGATGGGACGAGACTCGGGGGTGCGGAATGGGGGAAGGGGGGGCGTGAGGATGAGGACCAGCAGCCTTGAGGGCGATTCAGTCGGATGGAGGGGGGTGCGCTGTAGGAGAGTACGTACACTACCTTATGGGCGGTGGGTGGAAAGGGAAGGGGGGAGGGGGGGGACGCGGGAGCGGGTTCCCTATTAGATTTATTCCTGCGGCAATTGGCGGAGGGAGTTGCCCGCCCTCTTCCTCTCCTCCAGTGCCAGACCATACGCAGTGCGCAGTAGACCATGGTATCCGTACAGACTGGAAAGAGAGCGAGGAATGGGGAGGGGGGCGTGTCTCTCATTCACCCTCTCGCTCACTCGCTGTCTTCTTTCGCTCTCTCTCATTCTCGTCGTCTCTCTCGCCTCTATGCGTACCTATCTGCTCCAAGAGACGTGTGGTGGGCGTGAGACTTGAAAGCCGTAGTAAACAAGACACACACCCTCTGCCTCTGCCTCTGCCTCTCTCTGTCTTCTCTCGGCATGGCATTCCTTTTCTCTGTGCATAGGTATACCGGTACCATACTCCGTACTCTCTCCTCCAAACGTGGTCCATCGTCACTTTCTTCTGCCCACAACGCTTTGCCTCGCCTTTTCTCTGGTTTCGCTACCAACTTACATACATCCACCCGTTACCAAG